GCAGGCGAACTGCGCTTCAAAGGAGCGTGTTGTTCTGGTCTACACAAAACATACATTCTCATCTATCTTTTTCCTCTCCATTTAAACTCCTTCATTTCCCATCTTTAAAACTCTTCTATCTTGCCAGTAATTAATCCAGATATTTTCAGAAATGTCTGTTGTATTTCAGTTGCAAGTGAGAAATCATGGCCGTATGATTTCTCATTGTAAAGCTCATTAATTAAGCTGTGTTATTGCGTTCAATCAGAATAATCAAGTGTTCAATGTTTGATGTTAAACTTTGATTCTGTTAATAAATGACCACATTCATTTTGATGGGTCAAAGAAAATTAACGTCTCATGTCACTGGTTTTTAGACCATCTCCCACACAGTATCTCTGTCACATATCTGTCAAGTAGCTCGAAAAAGAGAGAACCCGTTATTAAATATTGATTGTAGTGGAGCTCCTACGCTAACTAACCCTACATCACTACAACGTAAAGAGTGATGTGACATCAAAAGAGACCATTGTTTCATCAGTCTCCATGATCACATCCCTCACCTTATCCACAAAGTCCATGGTGTTCTGTATGTGGTGTTCTGAGCTGCCAACTAAAGGGATGAGTACAGACGCCAGATATTTGGAAACATTGTAAGTGACAGAGTTAATCATGCTAACAATTGGTCTTAAAGATACACCTTGTGTGTGGATTTTAGGTAAACCATACAGACTAGGTGTGGCCTCCCCTGAGTACAGTCTGTGGTACAGAAAATGGTCAATAGCCTTGTCCTGCTCCAAAATTTTCAGGCAATCTATCAATTTCTTCTTGTAACCACTTCCTGGATCTCTTTTCAGAGGTTCATAAGTGTTTAAGTCACTACAGAGTGTCATAACTTTCTCATGATAGTCTTTCTGGTTCAAAATTACTGTGCACCTTCCTTTGTCTGCTGGGAGAATGATGATGTTTTTGTCCTTGCTAAGAGTGGTGAGTGCGTCCCTCTCCTCTCTACTGATGTTGGAAGATGTCGGTTTGGCATTGCTGAGGCAGGCTGAAACTTTGATTCTGAGCTGTTCTGCTTCAGCCTCTTTAATTTTGTTGTTGCGGATGGCTGACTCAGTAGCTGTGATCATCTCCACCAGAGGAATTCTACTTGGTGCAACCGCATAGTTCAGTCCCCTGGCAAGAATCTCTGTCTCCGGCTGGGTGAGCTGTCTGTCAGATAAATTCTTCACCCACTTTTCTGTCTCTCTGTCATGTAATTGATTACTGGAGTGTTGTCCTACACTGAATGTGTTGTTATTGGAATAGTGATAGTGTTGATGAGTTATTAGTAAGTTAAACTTGTTTTGTTGTCGAGTGTTGGACTTGACATACTGTGCTAAGCGTGCCTGATCTGTACAGTCCAACACTTGCTGAAGTGTGGTCTGATCTAGACACATAGTTAGTTTCTG